AAGCTTTCGACAAAAGTCAACACCCATTTATGATAAAAACCCTCCATAAAGTAGGCACAGAGGGAACTTACCTCAATATAATAAAGGCCATGTATGACAAACCCACAGCCAACATCATTTTCAATGGTGAAAAACTGAAACCATTTCCACTAAGATAAGGAACAAGATAAGTTTGCCCACTAGACCATTATTACTCAACATAGTTTCGGAAGTTTTAGCCACAGCAATCAGAGAAAAAAAAAAAATAAAAGGAATCCAAATAGGAAAAGAAGAAGTAAAGCTGTCACTGTTTGCAGATGACATGATACTATACATAGAGAATCCTAAAGACACTACCAGAAAACTACTAGAGCTAATCACTGAATTTGGTAAAGTACCAGGATACAAAATTAATGCACAGAAATCTCCTGCGTTTCTATACACTAATGATGAAAAGTCTGAAAGAGAAATTAAGGAAACACTCCCATTTACCACTGCAACAAAAATAATAAAATACCTAGGAATAAACCTTCTTAGGAAGACAAAAGACCTGTATGCAGAAAATTATAAGACACTGATGAAAGAAATTAAAGATGATACAAATAGATAGAGAGATATACCATTTTCCTGGATTGGAAGAATCAACATCGTGAAAATCACTATACTACCCAAAGCAATCTACAGATCACTGCAATCCCTACCAAAGTACCAATGACATTTTTCACAGAACTAGAACAAAAAATTTCACCATTTGGATGGAAACACAAAACGTCCCGAATAGCCAAAGCACTCTTGAGAAAGAAAAACGGAGCTGGAGGAATCAGGCTCCTGGACTTCAGACTATACTACAACGCTACAGTAGTGAAGACAGTATGGTACTGGCACAAAAACAGAAAGATAGATCAATGGAACAGGATAGAAAGCCCAGAGATAAACCCACGCACATATGGTCACCTTATCTTTGATAAAGGAGACAAGAACATACAATGGAGAAAAGACAGCTTCTTCAATAAGTGGTACTGGGAAAACTTGCCAGCTACATGTAAAGGAGTGAAATTAAAACACTCCCTAACACCACAGACAAAAATAAACTCAAAATGGATTAAAGACCTAAATGTAAGGCCAGACACTTAACAAACTCTTAAAGGAAAACATAGGCAGAACACTCTATGACATAAATCACAGCAATATCCTTTTTGACCCACCTCCTAGAGAAATGGAAATAAAAACAAAAATAAACAAATGGGACCTAATGAAACTTAAAAGCTTTTGCACAGCAAAGGAAACCATAAACAAGACCAAAAGACAACCCTCAGAATGGGAGAAAACATTTGCAAATGAAGCAACTGACAATGGATTAATCTCCAAAGTTTACTAGCCGCTCATACACGTCAATATCAGAAAAACAAACAACCCAATCCAAAAAAAGCCAGAACACCTAAACAGACATTTCTCCAAAGAAGATATACCGACTGCCAATAAACTCATGAAAGAATGCTCAACATCACTTATCATCAGAGAAATGCAAATCAAAACTACAATGAGGTATCACCTCACACCAGTCAGAATGGCCATCATCAGAAAATCTAGAAACAATAAATGCTGGAGAGGGTGTGGAGAAAAGGGAACACTCTTGCACTATTGGTGGGAATGTAAATTAATACAGCCACTATGGAGAACAGTATGGAGGTTCCTTAAAAAACTACAAATAGAACTACCATATGACCCAGCAATCCCATTACTGGGCATATACCCTGAGAAACCATAATTCAAAAAGAGTCAGGTACCACAATGTTCATTGCAGCTCTATTTGCAATAGCCAGGACATGAAAGCAACCTAAGTATCCATCATCGGATGAATGGATAAAGAAGATGTGGCACATATATACAATGGAATATTACTCAGCTATAAAAGGAAAAGAAATTGAGTTACTTGTAGTGAGGTGGAGGGATCTAGAGACTGTCATACAGCGTGAAGTAAGTCAGAAAGAGAAAAACAAAACTGTGTGCTAACACATATATACATATGGAATCTAAAAAAAAAAATGTTTATGAAGAACCTAGGTTCAGGACAGGAATAAAGACACAGATGTAGAGAATGGACTTGAGGACACGGGGAGTGGGAATGGTAAGCTGGGACGAAGTTAGAGAGTGGCACGGACTTATATGCATTACCAAATGTAAAATAGATAGCTAGTGGAAGCAGCCACATAGCACAGGGAGATCAGCTTGGTGTTCTGGTCCACCTAGAGGGGTGGGATAGCGAGGGTGGTAGGGAGATGCAAGAGGGAGGGGATATGGGGATATATGTATATGTATAGCTGATTCACTTTGTTATACATCAGAAACTAACACACCATTGTAAAGCAATTATACCCCAATAAAGATGGTAAAAATAAAAAAGTTAAATGGCTTAAATATTACTAGAATTTGCCACCTCCTTCTTGGTAAGTTATGTGGTCTTAATGAAGAGTTTATCACTTAGTAATTCATTAAAAAGTAGTGAGGGCTCTACAGTGGATTTAGGATTTGTGGCTGTCATTCTGAATATAAGTAAAAGTAGCATTATATTGGCTTAAGTCTAATAAACTTAAGCACACTGAAATCTTTTCACTCCCATGGGTGTGTGTGTGATGGTTTGAGTTTTTGTGACTGTACAATTAGAATGACTGTTTAAGGGGAGAGCTTTTCTTTTCTCTCTGAATAGAATGCATTTTATCATTAATTGTCTCCCACACAAGCCTGCAATTAAAATGTATCAAATAAACTGTTTAGTCATAACTGAAAAACAAAAGAATGAGTCTAGAACATTTATGATGCAGTTTGGCAAACCGGTCAATAAGACCTGCCAGTTCATGTTCCTAATCTAAGATAAATTACCATCAAAATGGATAACAACCAATATTTATATCTAATAGCTTTTGCAGGTCATCTATAAATAGAATATGGATTAGCAAATACTTGTTAGACTGATGACAGCTCACACTTGTCTTATTGTCCCAAACTTGTATCATCTTTGAATAAAATTTCTTCATACTACTCCTAGTTTAAAAGTGTTATCAATAGTCTGTGAATACTGTTAATACAAAAGAAAAAAGTATTTCTGAGAGTAATAAGATGTACATGAAAGATATACATTAAACAGTAATAAAATCAATAGTTTATACCAATAAAATCAAGAGTGTTGCTCTTGGAGATGCAAAAACACACACAAAAAATGTATCAGAGCCTGGAAGGCGAATTCATAGAAGGGAAACTACATTTCTGACTTTTTATTAAAGAATAAATGCAAAGGTAAAAGCTATAAACAAGCTGCATTATGTCAAAGTCAAACAGCAGTTTGGAAATGCAGATACAATTTTACCCCTGGATCACGAAGCAATTGGCATGACAAAGGAATTGTCAGTACTGCCTACAGGTTTCTAGGTCAACATTAACACTCACATTCAGAAAGATGACGATGCTCTGTAGTTGCAGGCAAAGCTCTCCATGATGTGATGGAGAGGACTGACATTTGAAAGGTATTGTTTTGATTTACAACCACTTAAGAAAACCTTCAATGACTGATACCATCGCCTCATGTCCTAGTGGAGGCAAGCGTGTCTCAGGGCGGTTGAGTGTCTCGGGTCCCATAAGTAGGAAATGACAGTGATGACTTACACTCACATCCTCTGTCTACACGGCTAGTGCTTTAACCACTGGGCCACATGGGCTCTCAAATGTTAGGAAGGCGCCCAGATTGCAATGTCCTTAGAGATGTGTAGTTCCAACTACTGAGATACAATTCTCTGTGGGTCTCTTACATCTCTGCACATCCTGGAAGCAGAAACATTGACTGCTTTTGTTCTGGACTATCTTACTAAGCTTGTACAGTGGAGAGCATTGCAACACAGTGATGTGGTCTCCCTATGGAGCACCGGACAGGCATCCTTACTGTGTATAAAAAATACTAGAGTTTCCTAAGAGCAGGATTCCATTCTCATACTCAACCCAGTGTGTTGACAGGTGTCAACTGACCATCTTAACATTGTCTCATAAGAATCAGCCTCAGGAAACCCACTTAAGAAAATGCTGATAATCTGGCTACTGCTATTTTTCAATGAGTAATGAAAGTCCTTTGTTTGTGAAAACAAGACAAAACAAAACAAAAACTTTTCTAAATTGGAAGTGGGTCTATGTTCTGTAGTGCCTATGGTTTATTGCTGTTTTGGGGGCCCCCTTGAAGGAAAATAATACAAAATTACATTTACAAAATTGAGCTCAGGGCTGTGGTGTTGGCAAGTGAGGGGCCATGCTGTGGAAGTTCTCGTCATGGTAAATTCAGCTTTATCAGAATTATATTTTTGGAAGTCATAATTTTCCAATTTCACAAATGGCCCTAGATGATTTTTCACTCACCAAGTACCAAGTCTATAAATGCGTAGTGCCTCATCTTAGAGAATAGCTCTTAATTTTTGTTTTCTAGGAGAAATAAAAATCTAGAGGATCTCTCCCATGCCATGAGATTTTCAACACCCTCGTGTCTTGCTTGGATTTATAGGCGGTCTAGGGAGTATTTTGGTTTTTTCATCCATCGACTCTATAAAGCAAATATGACCAAACTAGTGTCTTAAATTAAATTGTTTTCTAAAACCTGTCCTGGTTAGATTCCAGCATAGTTGACCCCATATTCCTGGAAAAATTGAATTCATGGGAATTGTACCATGATGTTGATAGAGTTTCACCCTGGGTGTGTGGTAGCTTTCTGAGCCGAAGTGAGAGAAGAAACATATTTTGAGTGACACTCAGAAAGTAGAAAATTGTCTTTTGCATACAGCACTGAAGACGAAAAATAGCTTCACTCATTTTGCTGTATGAAATCAATCACGGTAAACTCTTAAAATATTTAAGACCATTAACAAGTCATATTTGTGTACTGCTCACAGATAACAATAGCAGGTTAAATGTTAGAAAATATTTACTTGAACTCATAAAATACGTAAATTAATAAACAATTAAGAAAATGAATACAGTTCACCTACTTTTGAAATATTACTTGATCGACTTGCAGATCGCCCTGGGGATTTGTCATTCTGAAAAATAAAATTAGAGACATTGATTAGAAACATAGCAGTATTCTTTGCTGCTGAAAAAAGAAAGCACAGCATAGGCCAACGTGTAGATGTCCTCTGTATTGTCCTAACAGACATAAATATTGCTTACACAGGATGGTATTTCTTTTACCAAATTTTATTTCTCTAGTATATATCGGTGTCCTTTTGAAAACGTTTCAATTATTATCAGGTTATATATCAGTCTAGGAATATTTATTTCCAGGAAACACTTATTTCTCTAGAAAAACATATAAAGTTCCTTTGAAATAGAATTAGAAATGAAAATATAGTCCATTATTTCCCCTTTTCTTCTTCTACCAGTAAATTCCGGTCCTCAGTGTCAGTAAATATTGCATACTGGGTACATGGTATATAACATCTAACTCCTGTTCTGCTAAAATACATTTTATCTGTCTGTTCAGTTATTTTATTTTCAAAATTAAAAAAAAATTAAAGGTAATTTAAAATTTTAAAACATTTAAATTAAAAATATTGAGAAATTATTTTAAAATTTAAAACTTAATAATAAGTTTTAAAAAATTATACCTCAGTTCTTGCCTCTTAAGTAATTTCCAATTTCAGAGGAAAGAAGCATGAAAAAAGCTTTTGAATAGATAAATTTTTTTAAAAGTCATGCAACTGTAAAGTAGGATGGGTCCTTGTAGAGTAGTGGCACTACCTCATTCAAAGCCTGGAGGCCTTCTGTTGCCTGTAAGAAGGGCCAGTCCAGGGCCTTTATGGCCAGAGCTGGCGGGAAATCGACCTGACAAATCAGAATGTGTGGTACATACACCAAGAGATCACAGCACACCTTTCCTGCTGCGGAAAAAGTGTTGGAAGAGCCTGTTCCAGAAACCAAAAGTTTGTGAAGGATCTGTATTTAGCACTTTAGGATTCTTTTTAAAAAACATTTCTGAGCATCTGGACTCAATACCACAATGGATCTGAGTAGACTACTACAGTGCATCTTGACAGGGGTCTTTTTTGTGTGTGTGTGTGGTACTCGGGCCTCTCACTGCTGTGGCCTCTCCCATTGCGGAGCACAGGCTCCGGACGCGCAGGCTCAGCGGCCATGGCTCACGGGCCCAGCCGCTCCGCAGCATGTGGGATCCTCCCGGACCAGGGCACAAACCCGTGTCCCCTGCATCGGCAGGCGGACTCTCAACCACTGCGCCACCAGGGAAGCCCCGATAGGGGTCATTTTTGAGAACGAAGCTGTTTTAACAACCTGTGGGTCTGAAATTGTCCTGTGATGACTGCTTGAAACAGTTTCAGAAACACAGGGTAAATGTGTTATGGTGGAAACACAGTAGCTGCGTTCACTGTAAGCTGTCACTGTCTGGCACAGGCTTGCAGACATTTCAGCTGAACAGTACTTTTTCTTTTACATTCAACATCCATCTCATCCAACCACGGATGGCACGGTGGAGCATGTTATTACAGACCGAGATGAGTCACAACTGTACGATTAGTTACACCTCATAACAGCCCCGTGATCCAGCTGGAGATTAATGTGTGTGTTCCCTGAAGACATTTTTCCTTGATTAGCTTCCTCTGGTGATGGAGAGAGGTACTTTTCTACTGACATTTCAACTCCTCTTCTAGAGACAAGAAAACAAAACCAATCCATCTTTCCTTCTCAGTGAAATTGAGGATTTTGACACAGTATTGTATATAACAGAGGTCAATGATACAACAGGTTTTGAGAGGAGTTTGGTTGTCCTGGTTGTTTTACTATGTTTTCTATTTTTACATGATATTTGAGAACATGATCAAGGAACTAGAATTGAAAACTCTTCAGCAAGAACCAAGAAGTACTATTTGTACAAGAAATTGATCTGGCATCAGGTTACTTAATTTTTCCAACCAAACAGGACTTTGTCGTGTTTTGAGATTAAAAACAAGGAGGGCCATGTCCTTCCATAATTGTGAATGAGTTCAGTGTGAGGTCGTAATTAGCAGATAATTCCCGTATGCTTCAGCCTCCCCCAATCTAATGGGAGGAGGCCTCTGCTTTATTATTTCGTACTTCAAGAGGCCTTTTACATTGAAATCAGTTAGCTCTATTTCCTCTTAATACAAGGTTAGGCATTGAAGGAAATAAACAAGCTTGGGCAAAGGCTAACTTTTTGCCGTGGCTAAGGTCTCTATTATTTCCATTCCAGTTAACACATGGGAACAGAGAGGTTACCCTGTTGCTGCAACAGTGGTGATATAAAATGGGGTTTTGACTCGAACTAGACCTGTACCCGTGCACTAGTTCTAGCAGGAGTGTATTTGAGATCCTAGACCTCCAAATTCCTCACTGTGAAATGGGCAGCTAATATATTGGGGATTGGATCAAATGAGTTATAGATGAAAACATTTTAGAGATTACAAGTTTGTAATATTTCATTATTCACAGGTAGAGGAAACACCCAAAGAGCCCCCTCAAAAATCTGGGCAATTATCACAGGTTACTAGACCCATAATTTTAACATAAACACCTCTCTATCCTGCAATTCTACCTCTACTGTGGATTAGATTCTGGCATATAAAATTCAAGGATGGAAAATCAAATTTCTCTCTACCAAAGGGGATTAAGGAAGTCTGGTCTGCCTTGCTTTTCAAGCAAAGCTCCACAAGCACTTTCCCTCTTGGAACACTTCCAAAGCAATCTGTTCAATTTGCTACTAATTTTAATTGAATGGTTTGTCCCATTACTATTGCAATGACATATTCTTCTTTGTAGATTAGCCAAATATGGTTGTCATACCTCATTATGATCAGTTTAAATTCTTTACCTTAGATTAAATAGAAGCTGTCTCAGAATCTAATATAACTTACTGGTACCCAAATTATAGTGACCTTGTAGGCCACTAAAAGCTGAAACCAACAAGAGTTCCAGACAAGTCCACATGAAAATTATGGGATCTTCAAGCAATAATTTTGATAAGCTAGCTTAGTAGATCAATCTTAGCAGAATGTTCACAGTATGCAGAGGGAGAGACTTCTAGTTTCATAAGCATGTTTAAATCTTTTCAAAATTTCTAATTTTTGGTTTGATATGAATGCATCTGATATTGTTTGTTTCGTTTTGTGATTATTATTATTAATATAATTGTTTTTCAAATCTGACCTTACTAAACATGGTTGGATTTTTATTACCAGCAAGAAAAAATGATTACCAAATGAGGAAATCATTACTAAATTGTTTTAATATATTTAATATTGTAATCTAAGGAAAGTGACATAGTTCCTTTAAAAGGGGATGCTCTGTGTTAAAGAATGCATAATGCAGTGGACTTGTATTTATCTACAGAGGAATACTCTGTATATCCATCGATCAGAAGACGGCAGTAAGGAAGCTTGAAGGAGGGTTTTATTTCTTTGTTTGTTATCTTTTATGTAAACTAAAGGAAAAAACAAATTATTTCTGACTTCAGAAATCAGAATAAGACAATCTTACACAGACCACTGCTCTGATGCTATTCTGTAGTTTTCCTCCTTTGTCCTCTGCCCCACCCCCTCTCATCCCAGGCTAAAACTCAAGATATTTGAAAGGAGGAAAAAAAAATGAGGCAATTTTGAGGGTCATCTGAAAAATTCTAAGTAGACCATGAAACTATTTCTGTGAGAACAAATAAAGAATTAAAACTTGAAATAGAAGAAAAGTCTTTGAAAGCAATGTGGTTTGTAAACAAAAAATAAATGATACAGAGGAACTGAATAATACAATGAAACTCAATTAATAGATGTATTAAAAGTCTCATGTCCTTTAAATTAAAAATACTTTAAAAATTTATGTGGCTTCAAATAATACCTCCACAAAAATCTTCAAGTAGAGATTATATAGGGTACTTCTTTTGATACTGAGTCAGCAAAATTAGAAATAAAAATTTGAAATGTTACTAATAAATCTTGATCACCTCAAAACTAACACATTTTAAGATAATGCTTGGTCCAAAGAAATAATTGGAAAATTACAGACAGAAACTCTGGAAAATGTTATACTAAGACCTATGTAACACAACAAAAGCTATATCCAGATAAAAATTTATGACTGTAAAGGCCTTCGTTATTAAAGAACACAGTAACAAAAGAATGCAGTAAAAAGAAATAATAAAATATAAAAGCTAAAACTCATTAAATGGATATAAATAAGAAGGATAAAGAAATATTTCTTAAAGCAGGTTTTTGAAAATAATTACAAAATAGATGAATTTCCTATAAGACTTATTAAGGAGAACAGAAATATGTAAGAAATAAGAAAGGATAATCAAGGACACAGAAAAGATTAGAAAAATTAAAAGAGAATGCTCCATGTAATGGTATTACAACAAATTTGAACACCTAGAGGAAATGGACCACATGCTAGCAAAATAAAAGTTGTCAGAATTTATTCAAGAAGAGGAAAATTTGAATAGATAATTAACAAAGAAGAGATTGGGTAAGTAAATAAAAGTCTATATGCCCTGCAAAGGATAAGGGCATGATGATTTCACAATTGAGTTGTATCTTACTTTTAAAGAACACTTAATTCTAATTTTATTTACAGTATTCTTGACCATAGGAACATAAACTTCCTTAATCCATATTATTAATTCTGCATAAATTAACCTCCAAATGTGTTAAGACAGTATCCAAAAAGATATAAAGAGAGAAAAGAAAATTATGCTCTGGTCTTAATTTGGACTACAGACACAAAAATTCTTTTAAAATATTAGCATATATCTAATAGTAGTAAACATCTCTGATCCACCAGCAGTGTACCAAAAAATGCTGAAGGAATAAAATAAATAGGATTTATTCCTGATACTTCCTTATCAGGAAATCGATCAACAATTCATTAGATTAATACATCAAAAGCAAAAAACTATGATCTTATAGTTAAGATGTTTAACAAACCTCGACAGTGTTACTAGAATGTAAGCTCTAAGTAAAATAAAAATCGAAGGAAATCTTTAAAAGTGATAAAGACAATATCCTAAAAACCATTA